GTGCCTAACGTCACTTTCAGAACCGAGGAAAAAGAATAGTTTCCAAGCTTGCCTGGGGCCAGGATCGCCAAAAGGCTGCAGCCAGGAAAACAATATATCATCCAAGCCTTCTCTCACGCGCTCCCCCACCAGGGGTCGGCGGATATATATATATATAATATAATATATAATATAATATATATATATATACCCGGTATACCCTCTGATAAATTAACATATACCCTGAAAATCACTATTTGCTAGTGGAAACTGATCTTCCAACCCCTACCTGCCAGGGTCTATGTTAAATTAACAGAGGGTATATATTTATGATATTAAGTTGTTGATTCTTGCAATATTTGGCGCTACATTTGTGTACCTGTTCTCAATTGAAGCAGTGCCGGGCTTCAATGATTGATGAAGGTCTTTCTGGACGACGCATCTTCCGGACTCAATGCGGTCTTGAGAAGCCTTCCATGGCAGCCACAAGATGTGATGCTACTAACAAGCGCAGCCTATGCCGTTCTTCCAAACACTGGCAAGTGGCTGCAAAAGCGCTATGGAATCCAAATTCTGCAAGCAGAAGTGTATCATGGATGCAAGCATGAAGCATGGCAATGGATCGTGTGGATTGGTTTGGCTGAAGATGTATATATATATATATTAATCATCCTTCTGCGACTGTGCGTGAGCGATGCATTGTGAGTTACTACCGCAAGTCTTTCCTTGCTATGCGATATTACGCGATGTTATTACAAGATGAAATGTGGTGAAGCATGATGCAGTTTGAGTTGTGTGATATTCGCACATCTTGAGCGAGAGTGGCGCACTTCTTCTGAGGCATTTTCCCGCAGAAAGTGCAGAAACCATTTTGGAGCCGGTTGAACAAGCTCTGTTGGAACTGCCACAACCCTGCAAGCTCCGGCTAGCAGTTTTTGATCATGATCTTTGGATGCACTTGCAGTATGTCCCCTGAGCCCGACTGTTGGAATCATGAATGACGAAGAATGACGAAGATCTTGTAAACTCCCGGCGTGCTCATAGGTTCTAGATGGTTCTAGATGGTTCTAGCATGTTCTAGCATATTTTGACAGCTGTCACGATGAGGCACTCCTACACAATTTTGTCTCTACCCAGTATTTTGATCTTTTCTTGTCTATATACTTTAGTAAGTAGCCCAAGAAGACATAGTCGACCGCTTCAAAAACCAAAAAACGCGACTCAGAAACCAAGATCTACGATTCAGCAACCAACAGGCCCAATTCAGACACCAATGCTACGTCGATTCAGAAAAGGTCGTTTCAGAAACGAAAACGGAGCGACTCAGAAAGCAACTGAGAAGCGATTCGGAAAGCAACATGTACGATTCAGAAACCAAAACTTCCGACACCCAAATGTTGCATTACAAGAGATCAACCCCGCCACCCCCTCTGAACATTGTGTATCACTAGGTTGCATCTTGAGTATTGTATACAGGAAATCCACCCCTGCCAACCCCCTCTGAACAACACACTGTGTTCATCACACGCCATTCTGATCAATAATGAGCATGGCAAAAATCAGCTCCGCCAGTGACCAGTCTTGGGCATGTTTTTGTTTTCATTTATTTTCTATCGATGACGTTTTGATTTCCGAAGAAGCCAACTGGTTTCCGCAGATCGTTAACATGTTGCGTTTCGGTGATTGGATGGGATCATCGGCTGCTTCCACGCATGGCATATTTACGTTACAGATATGTACAGTCTATATAAATGTTTATAGATCATTACGCCAAAAAATCAACTGTACCATGCACACGTGTCAAAAAAATACGGCGTTTATGGATGTTTATGGCATATGATGGCATATGTATGCATATGTGTCGCGCACATTACCCTGAAAACAATCCATAATAGACAAATCTACTAGATGGACCAGCCAGGGATGATTTTTTCATGTTTTGATTCACCCACCTCCGGGAGTCTGAGGTTTCATCTTACCCACCAGCCATTCTGCCCGTGGCCCGGCTCGCTCGCATGGTGAAGGCAGTTGCAGTGGAAGATCCAGGGCTTTTTCCCCAGCTGCCAGCTGAAGGTCTTTAGGTTTTATCACCTTCCTCCGCACTCGTCCTCCACCTCCTCCACCTGCGCCTCCTCCACCTGAACCGCAAGCTCCAGAGCCGCGAGCTCCAGATATTAGCGGGCACTGCCGGACCTCAACCGCGAGCTCCAGATGTCAGTAGTCACTGCCGGACCTGAACGGGGAGATGTCAGATAGAATTGCCGCAAAGGATGCCAGATAGAATGTCAGAATATACGGCAGATAGATTCAGAATGCCAGATAGAATGTCAGAATATACGGCAGATAGATTCAGAATGCCAGATAGAATGTCAGAATATATGACAGATAAAGTGCAAAACAGAATACCACAAAAATGCCAGATAGAAGCCAGATATAATGCCAGAATACGTGTCAGATAGAATAGCAGTTGGTGGGTGTCACACGAAGAAAGTAATTGGGTGATTTGCCCGTTGATGATCTTCCAATGCAAGCATGATTTGAGTATTTCGGACACCAAGGACCAATCATATGAACCAAGGTTTTGAAGATGTTTGACAACAAATGATGAGAAACTCTCAAGGTGACATGCACAGACGCAGACATACACAAAGAGACACATAATGAAAAAAAGAAACACATGTTGTTATTAGTAAAAGTAATTATATGTAATTATTAGATCATCATATCTGCGTTGGCAATGCTTCCTGGTGCTAGCATAAATGGAATGCTCAAGATTCCCAACCCCCCTGAAAAGGATGGTGGAATATTCATTTTAAAAAATCATAATTAAAACACCAAACTTATGGTTGAATACCAGCAGGCTCGATGTGCAGAGACCCTGGTGCTGTTGGACGGTGCGCATGCTTTGGGACAAGTGCCCATTGATATGAAGCAACTGGCTGAAGCCGGTGTTGATGCATATGCCACTTGGTCACAGCTTCGTCGTGGAACATGATCAATGGCTAGTAGATACTCGTACGAAATCCTACTTGTATGATTCCCTTGGCTTGAGTTGGGGTGAGAGCGATGAACGTCCAAATATTCCACGCCATCCAAGAATGTTCAGTTTACATGCTTTTTTTGACCCAGCCCCATCCGCTCAATTTGGTTTTGTTTGAAAATAATATATATACATATACTGTATACATATTACTGTAGTGTACCACCCGAATGGCATTTTCACATTGGGGTGATGAATGCAAAACCATCTACTTTGGTCCAAACTCGACCTAGCCTATTTTCAAAGAAATCCAGAATATATGTTTTTTATTTCATATGTAGTATCTACTTAGTTGACTTTTCAAATGCGTCCAATTTTTCATGAGTTGAATGAGTAGATCAAACCCGTTTGACATTTGATTATCATTGAAGTACATAATAAGAGTACTCCACACAGAACCAAGATGTAAGTTCTGAATCTTGCGACAGGCAAAAAAAATCTGAGATTGCAGTTTAGTGAATATTATATATATATATATATCACAGTCAGTCTGTGAAACGCATCGTTTCACAAGATTAAATTTCAAAAGATTTGGCCCCATGTGCCACCGAACGATACGCAACGTTGATGTCTGCACATATCATACTGTATTATATTATATTATATTATATTAAATTATATTGTATTATATTATATTATATTAGATTATATTAGATTCTATTATATTATATTATATTATATTAATATTATATTAGATTCTATTATATTATATTATGTTATATTATATTATATTAATATTATATTATATTATGTTTGAATGTGTATGTGAACAAGGTGTACCTCACATGATAGCCACTAGTGCAACGGCATTTGCTGAAAGGTGACGGATGGGCACAAATGGCTCATGGCTCCAAAGGGCAGTGGTGCACTGTGGGCATCACGATCCATTCAAGACATCCTGGAACCCGCAATCATATCCTCAGACAATGCGCCAACAACCAAATTTCAAGATCGCTTTGACTACATTGGCACAAGGGATTATACCTCTTGGTGTGCCATGGGTGCAGCTTTGGACTTCCGAGAAATGCTAGGAGCCGCTGGGGGAAATATGTGTTTCAAGATGTTTCAAGCGGGTTTTGAAAGCTGGCCACAACTCTTCACTTAGTGGGAGTGTTGCCAATCATGTTGTTTCCAATTTACCAGAATCAACGTGAATCAGGCACTTGAATGGCACTTGAATGGCAACACAACACGCCTTAACGTTTTGTCCACAGGTGGCGAGGAGAAGATACAAGGCTACACCTCCCAGCTGGCAGGGTGGGCTGGAAGGATGATGGCAGGTGCCTTTGGCACGGAAACTGTGGTGCCTTTGACGATGACTCCTTCGATGTTTGCCGTGCGCCTGCCAATACCTTCCGAATGGCCCACGGATGCTCAGCAAAGGTGTGCAGGCGTGATTGCTGGAGGCTTGATCGAAAAGTACTCCACGCAGGTGATCTCTTTCTCAGTGCATCAAAAATCAGGGAATGTGACGCATTGGATCCGTGTGTCGTCGCAGATCTACTTGGAACAGCAGGATTTCCTTGCGCTGACTCACGCTGTTCTAACCTTGCGGCAGTCTTGCAAGTCTCGGGTAGGTGGGTTGGGCTCTGTCGTCGTTTGATACTAAAATGTGTGCGATCAGCAGAGATCAGCAAAGTCGTCCTTGCATGATTCAACCTGCTATGGCAATGTGAGGCCACAGGTGTCAGGCACAGGCACTTATAATTAACCACGTATACATGCAGGTGTCACGCTGTCACGCCATAGATTTTCTTGAACACCCTTTCTGGATGGTCACCTGCACGCTGTCCGTGTCAAAATGTATGTCCATCAGCCCAGGATCCCTCCGACACCGTGCATAGAGGTGCTTAAATGAGTGAAGGACATGGCTGGGATATGGTGCTCATTAGCTGACGGATCCAAAGCTGTTTCTGATTTCTTGTACAAGTTCCTGCTAGCAGCTACTGGTTGGCACATTCCACCAACAGGATGGCAAGAATTCTCTGTGGATTGGCGCTTGCAGTTTGGTAGTAGTTCCTGTGCTATGAAGAGACCCATCAAATTTTCGGGAGGATTTACACGAGGTTGGAAAGCCAAGAGGAAAGCCACAACAAATGATGCTATATTATATTTATTTGATGACATTTGATGTTACGTGTTTTATTCTCGTAATTGTTCTGTACGTGTGCAAATTTATCATATTTCATCTATGTCTATATCCACGGTTGGATACTATATGGGGTATCATGACCCATCGATCTTCCCAAAAGATGGTTGCGAAGATGGCAGGTGAAAGCAGCTTCAAAAGCCCACGTGGCAAGCCAGGCTTTGTATTTAACAGCAGACGGGTGAATCTTCTGAATGGAATTGATTTCAATGTGATGAGCACAGTATATCAGCACAATAGCTTATAATACTATATAATGGGATGAATTATGGGAGTAAACTACTATTGTGACAATGACTGGTTGGTGGTTTGGAGCATTTTTTATTTTTCCATATATTGGGAATAATCATCCCAATTGACTTTCATATTTTTCAGAGGGGTAGGTATACCACCAACCAGATGAGATGTCATGGAGGTCGCATGACTTTTCAGAATCGGCCGTGTGGAGGCTCGCGCCGAAGATGTCACAAGGTGTCGCTGCACATCTACGACTTGGACTCGATGATAGCTGCTTGGCTTCCCCGGGGGGAATCATGGAATAGCCATGAATAACAAGCATGTGTCAATAGAAACATGTAAATACATTGGAAAAACACATATATATGTGTATATATATATATATGTATATTCATTGATATAATATAATTAATATAAATGTACGCGTACATGAATCATAATTTGATGTCCTTTCCCACTGGTTGGTTGATGATTCAATTCCCCAATGACACAATTGTTCAAACCATTCTGGGTAAATGGTACAGCACATCCAATCCTTTGGTTCTCCAATTAGGGTATTCCATGCCATTGGTGTGATCATGTTCAGGACATTCTAGGGACATCCCACCTCCCAGAAACCATGGAATCATGGGGAATTACACATATTTGGCACCTTGCAGCAGGGGGTGTTTCATATAGCGAGATGGGAGAGTTGTCTTCCACTTGGGAGGGTCAGCTTAAGGCCACCATGAATCAGTCCTTTCTTCAGCAGCTGGGCTTGGGAGCCTTCCATACTGGTGTCGAGGCGTCGCACTTATGGTATCTATTGTCTAAACATGAAAGGGCTGAAAGTTTCATGGGATTGTCATGGGACTTAACCATCAACTATAATGGATTTTTTGGCACCAAACACTTAAACATACTTGAACTTCCTGCAGCTCCACGTAGGCTTTTACATAGGCTGCGTAAGCTTTGCGCAGGCTCTGCATACGTATTTTGTGCGCTAAGTCAAGTATGTTTTATGTCTAGGCGGGAAGGAGTTGCGCAGGCTTCGCGTAGGCGTATACAGTACAGCTATGTCACGCGTAAACGATAAGCCTAGGAGTAGAGTAGGCAATTGATAAGCCTAGACAACACAAAACAATCACTGCTCATGGTGGTCCATAGCTACCCGTAGCAACTCAGTTCATGCTGTGACAGGTCCTTGGTGATGAGTGGTACTTCCGCTGGGCTGAGAACGAAGGCTTACGAGCAGCTGAAAGAAACCTTAACACCATCAAGAAGCACTGGCTTCGGGTAGATTTTATAGATGTTCTGCGCGTGAAAGGTGTTGTCTAGCGGCTTGTCCTGTCCAGCTTTGTTTCGGATGTCCATATATTTCCTGAGAAGTATTTTGTCCCAGACCAAAGATATGAGGGATTGTGTGTCAATCACGGTGCCAAAACTGAAGGCACCTTGGACCGGTTTGGATCTGACATTTTTTCAGTATGACACTAATTAAACTTCACTAAAGCCATGTCACCAATGTCTACCCAACTGTCATAAACCAATGGTGAACCGCAGAATCTGGTGTGGTGTGGATGAGACCACAAGCGCACCAAGCAGGGTATCCCAGGTCCCGATGGCTTGAAGATGGTGAGTTCACGTGACATGGGGAGTCCGGCTGGAAATGGACACTGTCTTTTTGTGTGCGAAAAAAAGGCATGTTACTTGGTTGTAGTTGTAGGATGTATTGATTTCTTTGCGACAGGAGCCTTCCCAAGCTAGATATTTTGGGTCAGTGCATTGAATTCCGTTAAAATGTCTATGTGATTCTGCATATTTCGAGCCGGACCTTCCCCATTCCTAATAGCTGACCAAATTTTGTCCAAAAACCAAGAAAAAAAGGCAGATTTGCAACTTGGAATTTCAAGCAAATCAATGTTG